GGGGGGACGCGGGCCCGGGAGCGGGGCCCCTGGTGACGGCCCGGGCTCCCGCAGGCGAGCTCTCCATGGAGAAGGTGAAGGTGAAGCGGTACGTGTCGGGGAAGCGGCCCGACTACGCGCCCATGGAGTCCTCGGAGGAGGAGGACGAGGAGTTCCAGTTCATCAAGAAGGCGAAGGAGCAGGAGGTGGAGCCCGAGGAGCAGGAGGAGGAGCTCGCCAACGACCCCCGGCTCCGGCGCCTCCAGAACCGTATCGCCGAAGATGTGGAGGAGCGGTGAGTGCTGGGGTCAGCGAGGAGCTGCGTCTCCGCCCGCCCCTGCCACGCTTCCCTGCGGGTTTGCCCTGGCAGGGGGATGGGTACCCCCGGTGTGCCGCAGTGCGGTGAGGAACTGCAGGCACGCCGAGCAGAAGCTGGGAACGTTCTCCAGGCAGCGCGGGAGAGTCTCTGACACTTCTCATGTCTGTGTTGCCCCATGCCTCGGGCTCCGGCCCTGCCGTGAGCAGCCCTTCCAACCAGGAGTCACCGTTTCCCAGGGCATAGCCCCACGTCTGGGTGTGGTTGGGTGGGTGCAGGTGAAAACAGGCTCCAAAATAAAAATTAACACAGCATGCTGAGTCTCAGGGTAGTGGGAAGGGATGGCGTCATGTGAAGTGTGCTCTGTGCAGGGAGTAACCGAGTGCCATTTGCCTCGTCCCGTGGAGCTGCTGCTGCTTTCCGTTCCAGTAACAGGGAAGCCTCCCGCTGGGAGCTCCATTCGTACTCAGAGCGTGGACGGGGAGGAGCTGCCGGTGCCCGGCCACTTCAGCCTCCTGGGAAAGAACGTGTGGGGTCTGCCCACGCTCGGCAGTTCCAGCGTTTACCACGGCCTCGTTAGGAACAATTCATGAATAGTTAACTTCTTGCAATCTCTTTATGTTCGAAGTGCCGTTGTTTAATTGGGGTCTGTTGCAGGCTGGCAAGACACCGTAAAATTGTGGAGCCTGAAGTGGTTGGAGAAAGTGATTCAGAGGTGGAGGGGGAAGCTTGGCGCCTGGAGCGGGAGGACACCAGCGAAGAGGAAGAGGAAGAGATCGATGATGAGGTGTGCTTGCAGAGCCGAATAACGGGCCTAGGGAAGCCCCTGAATGGCACAGACTGGAACTGCCTTTTGCATGGACATGTGGGCTGTCTGGTGGCTGACAAGTGTCACAGCTGGCTGTGACTTAACTTGTGGGTTACTGTCCTCTTGCGCGGGATGGGACGCCGGGAGAGGCCACCCTGCGTCCGGAGGGATGGGCATATCGTCTTGTAACCAACACGCCAGACACGCACGTTTTGGACAGGAGAGTGAGAGAGAAGTGGTAGCGGGGCTGGTCATCTGACTCTCTGTGTTTGTCTCCATCAGGAGATCGAGCGTCGGCGCGGGATGATGCGTCAGCGAGCACAGGAGAGGAAAACCGAGGAGATGGAAGTGATGGAGTTGGAAGATGAGGGTCGATCCGGAGAAGAGTCTGAGTCAGAGTCCGAGTACGAGGAGTACACGGACAGTGAGGATGAAATGGAGCCGCGTCTCAAACCTGTCTTCATCCGCAAGTGGGTGACGTGGCCTCGTGGGTCAGCCCTGGGCGAGGACACGGGAGTTGGGAGCTGGGGGCTGAGTGGACACTGCTGCCGTGGTCTCCTCTTCCTTGCTGTGGGGCGGCGGTTTGCCTCCCCAGGGTGGGAGCAAGGGGCAATCCCTGCACTGACAGCCCCTCGTCAGCTGCATTGGTCGCTGCGGGATCAGGCTGTGGGTTGAAGTTGCAGCAGGGTCTGACCGGAGCCCTTGGGCAAGTGCCGTATGGTGGCGAAAGGAAGCCGTCAGCAGGCTCCTGGTGGCTTGGTCTCCCGGCGCTCGCATGTGCGCCTGCAGCTGTAGGGGAACAGTGCGGTAGCCCCGGCGTGGGCAACGCTGGAAAGGGGAGAGTCCTGGGACTCGGCCCGTCCTTGGAGAGAGCAAAGGCTGAAAGCAGCTGCAGTGCGGGAGGGGGAAAAGCCTGAAAGGAGCCAAGCGGCTGCGCTGGCTGACGGAAAGGCTGAAGGCGGTTGTGGTCCCTGCCTGCAGGAAGGACCGGATCACAGTTCAGGAGCGAGAAGCAGAAGCCTTGAAGCAGAAGGAGCTGGAGCAGGAGGCAAAGAGGCTGGCAGAGGAGAGGCGCAAGTACACACTCAAGGTGCTGAGGGGTGGGCTGGGGGTTCCGTGGGGGGGCTGCAGTCACCGCAGCAAGCTTAGCTTGCTCCTTGCTGCAGATCGTAGAAGAGGAAGCAAAGAAGGAGCTGGAGGAGAACAAGCGCTCGCTGGCAGCACTGGATGCACTTGATACAGATGATGAGAATGACGAGGAGGAGTACGAGGCCTGGAAAGTACGTGAGCTGAAGCGTATCAAACGGGACCGTGAAGAACGAGAAGCGTAAGTATCGTCTGTGTAGGCACGAAGCTGAGACCCCGCAGCCTCAGGCCCCCCAGGCCCGTGGGCAGTTGAGGCGTCTCTCCCTCAGGCTTCCCTTTGGCAGCACAGTCTTAGCTAGACCAAGCACCCAAAGCCTCTCCTGCCCACCCTTGGGGTGCCTTTGCTCCCCTCCAGTCAGTAGATGTACAGGACAGCAGCTGGCGACAGCAGTTGTCCCGGGAGGGTGCTGTGGGGACACGGGGTCTCAGGGGTTTCTCTCCTGCCCAGCATGGAGAAGGAGAAGGCGGAGATCGAGCGCATGCGGAACCTGACGGAGGAAGAGCGCCGGGCCGAGCTTCGGGCCAACGGCAAGGTCATCACCAACAAGGCGGTGAAGGGCAAATACAAGTTCCTGCAGAAGTACTACCACCGCGGCGCCTTCTTCATGGTGAGTGGTGCTGCGAGGGCCTGGGCATGGCTGCGCTGGCAGCAGGGGCTGGACCAGCGCACTGGAGGGGCCGTGTGAGACCATGGGGACGTCTTCTCCCTGTGGGGAGCCCCTCCCCGTGGTGCCCTGGGGCTGGGGGTGCCCTGGGACAAGAGCCGGCCCTTGGAGGCAGCACAGGGCTGAAGTGACCGAGGTGATCTGAATTTGGCCAGCTCTTGTGGCAGAGGGTGAGCGGTGACACCAATGCGGTTGGGAGCGGGTGAGCGGTGACGCCATGGCAGCCTGCCAGGCGCTGGCCTGCAGCTGCCCTCTGGAGCCCAGGCGGGACGGGCGCAGTTCTGCCTGGAGCCCAGAGCAGAAGCAGCAGAGCTGTCCCCGTGCTGCTGTTTGGGCTGACAAACAGAACCGAGCCAGCTCCGCGTGGGCTACGGCCTGGGCTCTGGAGAATTGGCCTGAGCGTACGTGAGGGTGGCTGCCAGGGGCAGGCCGGGGGACAACGCTTGCGTCCCCCACCTTCGACAGTAGGTTAATAGGACTGCAAGTACCGTGGCAGCCCCCGGCAGAGCAGCGATACAGGCTTCTGGTGGCTCTCCCCCACTTCTGCTGGCGCTTGCTGGAAACTTGCAGGCTGAGCAGGCGTGTCCTTCTTCTGCAGGATGAGGACGAGGAGGTGTACAAGAGGGACTTCAGCGCCCCGACCCTCGAGGACCACTTCAACAAGACCATCCTGCCCAAAGTCATGCAGGTAGGCGTGCCAGCTGGAGGGTGCCTGGCCTGCGTGCCGCACCGAGGGGTCGCGGTTCCTCAGCAGGGGCAGGAGCTCGCGCGCTGGGCGGGGAGGAGCTGGCACTCCTCCCTGGGCTGGTACTGCTGGGGCTGCTCATCCCCATTGTCCTGCCAGTGCAGCCCAAGGCTGGCACCAGCAGCTGGGCCTTCCCCTGGTGCTCCCCATCCCCCGCTGGGGCAGGCAGTGCCTGTGCCCCCTCCTTTGCACCAGCCCCAGCGGCGTGAACCACTGCGCTCCCGCCTTTCTGCTGCATCCGTCCCTCTCCTCTGACCCCTGACCTCCTGACACTGTCCTTTGGGTCTCCTTCAAGGCCACTGGCATCAGACGCGGGTCCTGGCACCGTTCTGCTCCACCGTTCACAGTCAAGAACTTTGGGCGCTCGGGGCGGACAAAGTACACCCACTTGGTGGACCAGGACACCACCTCCTTCGACTCTGCCTGGGGCCAGGAGAGCGCGCAGAACACCAAGTTCTTCAAGCAGAAAGCAGCAGGCGTGCGGGACGTCTTTGAGAGACCCTCAGCCAAGAAGCGAAAAACCACTTAAGGGAGCGGGCAGGAGGGCGCTTCTCCGCCAGCTGCCGCAGGGACAGAAGGGACACAGCTCTGTGCCAGGACTCATGTGGTGGCAAGCCCTTCCTCCGTGCCCCTGCGCCACGCCTGCCCTGTCGACGCGGTGTCCCGCTCCCCACGCTGCAGAGACCCGGCAGGCTCCCTGCCCGGGTGCCATGGAGGATGACAGCCTGTCCGTGCTGGCCAGGCCCGCGGCCACACCGCCATCCCACCAGCAGCCGCCCCGAGAGCCTCGGCAGTGCCCGACAGGGCTGTGCGGGAGCGCGGCAACACCCCCGGCTCCAGCACACCCACTTTTTGAGGAATTAACGGACTTTTATACCCATCTGGTCCACAACGTCTCCCTATTGCCTGTACTTTCCCCATTGTCAGTTTGGGCCCTTTTTTTGGTGTGGAACAGCGGTGACCCCATCTCCTCACCCTGTTTCTGCAGGGCCTGGCTTTTCTACCGGGGTGGGGGGGGTCAGTTTGATTAAAGCGGTCGTTTTCTTACACATTCTGGCCGTGTTGTCTGTGGAACGCGGCCATCCTGTTCTGGGGCTACCTG